ATTATAATGGACAGACGGACACACATGGCTAGATTGACTACGCTAGTCGGAATATGACGATCGGTATACTAAGGCCTTTGATAGACTTAAAAAAATATTCTTATTTGAATTTTGCCTTGTAAGGGCAGTGATCATTTCAAAGTAATTTTAAGTGATTATTTATACTCTTTCGAGTCGAGCTTGATGATCTAAGTTTTGCAATGAAAAGAAAAGCCAGAAGAAGAACCTACGTACCCACCATTATGCGACGCGTTTCGCCGTTGGTTAAGCGGCTCATGCCTGATGAGCTATGGGCTATGTGGCTTTACAAAGGTCGTACGTTGATAACTTGTTAATTGATACTGATTATACACTTAACGGCTACTCTCTGGAAAAAGTTAATGAGTTTGTAGATCTAGGAGTTCTTTTGGATCGTAAACTGAATTTTAATTCCCACATTTCAGTAACAATAAACAAAGCAAAGTCCGTGCTTGGGTTTATTAAACGGTGGAGTAAAGAGTTCATGGATCCTTATGTCACAAAAATTTTATATACAACGCTTGTTCGCCCTATATTGGAATACTCTTCGATCATATGGGATCCTATATATATTACACACAGTGATCGCATAGAGTCCGTTCAAAAGCAATTCCTAATTTTCTGTTTACGGAACTTAAACTTCTCGAATTATTATCTTCCATCATATACAGATAGACTTTCCCTCATCAAGCTGCCAACTTTAAAAGGCCGAAGGAAAATGTTGAATGTATCATTTATTTTTAATGTAATAATGGGTGACGTTAATGCTGGATTTTTAATCAACAACATTTGTTTCAATATTCCCCAAAGAGCTACACGCAATTATGTACCACTAGCTATTCAATTTTCTAGAATGAATTATTCCAATGCAGATCCCTTAACAAGAATGTCTAACGATTTTAATGAATTATGTAATCTTATTGATTTTTCTATGAACCTTGAAGCATTGAAAAGTAAAATTGTAATATATTTAAATTCATGAAATTAAGTATAACATTTTGTATTATATAGTCTGTAAGGAAAATATCCATACACTAATAAATAATAAATAAAATAAAAGGAAAGGTGTCAATGACATTGGTCTAGGAAAATGTATGGCTAGCGAAACGTATCATGGTGATGTGGACGAACTCAATGAAAAGTTTATTAACGTACCTTCTCTAGACACTGACCCGCCTTACTATGGATTTAACTCAGGGACATTAAATGATCTAGGTAGTGATAGGAATTTTGAATTTCACGGCGTTTGAAATAATGAAGTTCTTAAATGCTCCACAGAAGTTACATCTAACGCCATTGGTTCTGACGGAATTGACCCTAAGTTTGAACGAATACTACTCCCTTCTGTACTGTCATACATAACATATCTCTTTAATTCCATACTCACTTCCAGCAAATTTTCTAGTCGTTGGAAGCATGCCAAAATCAAATACGTAATTTCGCCCAATTGCAATTCTGTGCTTCCTTTCAAAAATATTTGAAAAAAATCGTGCAGGAACAAATGTCCGAGTATCTTCAAAGAAACGCACTGCTCAGTAATATTCAATCTGGTTTTCGTGAGGGGCACAGCTGCACCACTGCTTTTATAGAAGTTTCAGAGTCTTTAAGGTGCGAGATTGACGAAAATAAGATATGTTTTCTTGTTTTGCTTGATCACTCAAAAGCATTTGATGCTGTCGACCATAAAAACTTGTGTTTTAAACTTCGTCGTTTTTTTTTAATTTTTCAACAACTTCTACAAAACTAATTACGTCCTATCTTTCAAATAGATCTCAGTCAGTGTACACTAGAACCTTGATCTCTAAACCTACGGCTGTAAAAAAAGGAGTCCCCCAAGGATCCATCATAGGTCCGCTCCTCTTCTCCTTATACGCGAATGATCTTCCTGATCAACTTCGCCATAGTCAAGCACACGTGTACGCAGATGATGTGCAAGTATTTTTGAGTAGCTCCCTAAACAATATAAGTCAGTGTGTAGAAATTCTTAATCAGGATCTCTCTAGATTATACGAGTGGGCTAAAGCTAATGGCCTATTATTGAATCCGCTTAAATCAATATGCTTGATCATTCACAAAAACAGAAAAATATTATTGCAGCATATTGACATTCTTCTCGACAATGAAAAAATCGAGCTGGTATCCAGCGCCAAAAATCTTGGAGTAATTTTCAACAAATCATTAAGCGGGAACAACCATATCAATGCTATCGTAGGACAAACCAACTCAAAATTAAGGGCTCTGTCGCTAACACATTCATACACACCTCCAAATATTCGCTGGCTGCTGGCCAAAACCTTCCTAGTTCCAAGCTTATTGTATGGTTGTGAGCTGTTTGCCAACTGTGATTCCCTCTGTCGTCACAAATTGAATGTCGCATTTAATAGCATAACACGATACGTGTATGGCCTAAGTAACAGACAAAATGTCTCACAGTATTCTAAATCCCTGTATAGAGTAAATTTCGACTTTATACTTAAGAGAAGAGGACCGACGGGTCCCATCATCGGACTTGATCTAGGCTTGGTAAAGATAATAGTTTGTGCAAAGTTTGGTACAAATCGGGCATTCCTTTCGCATGATATTTTACAAAATAATTTCAGCAACAATTCTTGGTTCCAGAAGGAGTGGACCGATATTCCCACCTTCGATCTTCAATTCATATCATTTTTAATAATGTAAATGATATATTTCGAAACTTTTATCTTTGGAAATATCCCCGCCCTGCTATTTTTTGAAATACATTTAAAAAAAATCCTTATCACTGATAATCCGGAATAATACTTATAATAAAACGTCCTAAAAATTGTCAAGAAGCGTTGAAAAGATATCCCATAAAATATCACAGCACTGATTTCCCTTGAAAAAAATATATATTCCTTGGCAGTAATAAAAAATATTAAAAAAAAATCCATTCATAATTATAGAAGGTTGTCTCATTTGTGAAATTAATAATGACAACTCGCATATCATTTTCAAATAAAATTAAAAAAAATCATTTTGTGTATGTCGATTGGCATATTTTCAACACATAAAAAAATATATTTTCCAAAGCTGAAAATTGTTCTAAAGATGTAAAATTTGGTGCTACAATTTAAAAAGCAGAGAACTTCAAAATATTAATACATAATAATAATAATTTTGCAATTTTTCCCACTGAACACATGCTATCCGTACATTTCGAAGGAAGATTTTTTCATTAAAATTTTGAAAACTGAATGTTGTCAAAAGTACATTTATGAAAAAAATAGAGACTACCTTGAACAATAATGCCCGGTAGTACAAAATGAAACAATTCGCTGTTGCAACCATAAATTTACTGTGAAAAAAAAAATAATTTCGGGGGGGCCCGGGCCCCCAGGGCTGCCCCCTGCGTACGTCTCTGGCTCCCACATATATTTTCGTCCGATTAATTGTAAATGGTGCACCAAAGTCGTTACATATATTTCGATTTGCACGAAATTTGGCATAGAGTATTGGTTTGACTCTAGAATAACGTTTGCTAAGTTTCGTGAAAATCGGTTCACATTTCGATATATCGCTCACATATATTTTTGTCCGATTTTATGTAAATGGTGCACCAAAGCCCCTATATATCATTCGATTTGCAAGAAATTTGGCATAGCTTACTGAATTGAGTCTAGAATGATGTGCGTTAAGTTTCCAGAAAATCGGTTCAGATTTAGATATAGTTCCCATATATCTTTTCGTCCGATTTAAGCGTAATGAATTAGGTCTAGAATGATGTGTTAAGTTTCCTGAAATCGGTTCAGATTTAGATACAGCTTCTATATCTGACCAAATGACAAATTTAGTATCGGTTGCAGAATGACATGTTTATGGATCCAATTTCAGTTTACTGGTCCTTTAAAAATACGACGTCTGTTAGGATTCATCTGTTGAATATACCCAAAGTGGTGAAGGGTATCATATAGGCGGCCCCGTCCGACTTACTTTCCTTACTGGTTTTTAAATACACTTGTTGAATAAATAATGTGTTTACAAAATCTGTTGAAAATATAAATCACTGTTTAACATTCATTAAACTGCACACAACGACGCTCCTGAAAAAAATACTCGAAAAATAAAATTTTTGAAATATATTCCAAAGGCCTAGATTTTTCCTAGTCTAGCAAAGTCCAGGATTTTTTAAATAATTTTATTGTCTTGTCTACCAAAGGCGTGTATTTTAAAAAAAAAATATTTTATAAAAAATACTTTTTTCTGTCCTACCAAATACTTAGATTTTTTTTAAATATTTTTTCCTGGTCTACCAAAGGCCTGAATAATTGTATACCCCACACCTAAAATATCCCGGCATTGACTTTCCTTGAAAATATTTTTTTTATATTCCTTGACAGTAATATCCTGGTAAAAATATTTTGTTTAAAAAAACCCATTCATAGAAAAATATTGATAAAGAATCCGTAAAATAGTAATCCTTACACATAAAAACAGTATTTGAAAATATATGTAGTTTTTTTTTTGTGAAGCCTCAGTCGCATACCACGTGTCCAAAACAAATATTCTTCTCCAATTGTCCTTGCAAAAGTTTTAATTAATTAATTATTTTATTTCTTGGGTGCAGAACCTACCCTCAAAAACAAAAAATAAATTTAATTCAATATCGATTGACCTCTACACCCCGATAAGATCCAACACCAATTGATAACAACGAACGAACTTGAGACTCAATATTTCCGTTACAAAATATTGAATATCTAAGTGTTGGTGTGTTGTAACAAGTCAACAATTACAACACCACCATCTGCCTATTCGAAATAACATAATAATAACAACATCATCTTCTAAATGACAATATCTCGTAATAATGCTTTAATTAAAAATTTTTCTATTTTTTCTCCCCCTTTCACCTCTTTCCCAACTCTCCATCCAAAAAATAAAATACAACACTAATTACAGTTGCTGGAGAAACATTACAATGTTATGTTTGTGATGGCGATGATTGCGATAGTCTTGAGACAATGAAATTGGAAGTGTGTTACGATGATGGTGAGGAAACAACAACACCATCAACTCCACCAACAACACCATCACCAGAATCAACAGTCGTTACGGATACACCGACAACAGCACAGCCATCAGAATCGACACCATCGCAGCCATCCGAAACAACAACACCAACAACCCAACCTGCAGAAACCACAACAGTAGCACCCGGTGCGCCCGAAACAACAGTGCAACCTCCAGCTGCAGAAACAACTACAACGACAGCACCAGAAGTTCCAGAAACCACCACAGTAAAACCTCCAGCTCCGGAAACAACAACAGTAGTAGTAGAAACGCCTGCTCCGGAAACAACAGTAGTACCCCCAGCAGAAACACCAGCTCCCGAAACAACAGTAGCCCCAACAGCTCCCGAAACAACAGTAGCCCCAGCTGTTCCCGAAACAACAGTAGTACCCCAAGCTGAAACGCCTGCTCCAGCAGTTCCCGAAACAACAGTAGTACCCCCAGCTGAAACACCTGCTCCAGCAGTTCCCGAAACAACAGTAGTACCTCCAGCTGAAACGCCAGCTCCAGCAGTTCCCGAAACAACAGTAGTACCCCCAGCTGAAACGCCTGCTCCAGCAGTTCCCGAAACAACAGTAGTACCGCCAGCTGAAACGCCTGCTCCAGCAGTTCCCGAAACAACAGTAGTACCGCCAGCAGAAACGCCTGCTCCAGCAGTTCCCGAAACAACAGTAGTACCCCCAGCTGAAACGCCAGCTCCAGCAGTACCCGAAACAACAGTAGTACCCCCAGCTGAAACGCCAGCTCCAGCAGTACCCGAAACAACAGTAGTACCCCCAGCTGAAACGCCTGCTCCAGCAGTTCCCGAAACAACAGTAGTACCCCCAGCTGAAACGCCTGCTCCAGCAGTTCCCGAAACAACAGTAGTACCGCCAGCTGAAACGCCTGCTCCAGCAGTTCCCGAAACAACAGTAGTACCGCCAGCAGAAACGCCTGCACCTGGAGCAACAGCTCCCGAAACAACTGTCAAACCTGCCGAAACTCCTGCAGAAACTAAATCTGCCTCAGCAATTCTTTTAAGAAATTATCGTGCCCTATCACGTAGCCGTCGTATGACTGCATCTAATGGTACCGGATACGCTTGCTATACCGTGGAATATAAAGGTAAAGTATCACTTTGACGCGACTTACGGACAATTGACAATAATAATGAGTTGAGGGGTAAATACAATAGGGAAGATAACGACGGAAACCAGCATTCCATTGTAGATGGCATGTCATGACATATATCCTTTTATAGATGGTTTCTGAGACCACCATTTTAGTGTAGATTGCCTCTGATATGTATATGGCGTTTGAGACCGTCACTCTAATACAGATAACATCTGGGACCACCACTCTATTGTCGATAGCCTCTGAGACCACGTATTTTATTTTCGATGATCTTTGAGGACGTCGACTTAATTGTAGAGACCTCCACTTTATTGCAAATGCAATATGCAAACGTCGACTCAATTATCGATGGCCTCTGAGATCCCCACTCTATTCAAAATGCCTTCTGGTACAACCTACTGTATTGTGGATGGCCTCTGAGACCATCACTATATTGCTATTGGCCGCTGATATGTCTATGGCTTCTGAAACAACATCTCTATTACCAATCGCCAATGAGTGCATCCAATCTATTCTCCATGGCTGAGACCTCAACTTTTTCATAGACGACATTTAAGAACATCAACTGTATTGTAGATGGCCCCTGAGAATTCCACTCTGTTGTAGATGGCCTCTGAGACTTCCACTCTTTTGTATATGTTGTTTAAGGACATCAACTTTATTGTGTATGGCCTCTGAGACCATAACTCTATTGTAGATGGACTCTGAGACCACCACTCTATTGTATATGGCCTCTGAGACCATCACTCTATTGTAGATGGCGTCTGATACAACCTACTCTATTGTAGATGGCCCCTGAGACCACCACCCTTTTGTAGATGGTATTTGAAGCCGTCACTCTATTCTTGATGGCGTCTGAGACCACCACTATATTACTATTGGCCGCTGAGATGTCTATGACTTCTGCAACGACATCTCTATTACCAATCGCCAATGAGTGCATCCAATCTATTCTCCATGGCTGAGACCTCAACTTTTTCATAGACGACATTTAAGAACATCAACTGTATTGTAGATGGCCCCTGAGACCTCCACTCTATTGTAGATGGCCTCTGAGACCTCCACTCTTTTGTAGATGTCGTTTGAGGGCATCAACTTTATTGTGTATGGCCTCTGAGACCATCACTCTATCGTCTTTGATCTGAGACCATCACCTCCAATCCTTTGTTGATGACGTTTGAGGAGATCAACTCTATTGTCGATAGCCTATGAGACCACCTACTTTATTCTCGATAGGCTCTGAAACCGCAACTCCATTATCGATGGGCTCTGCAACCGTCAAATCAATTGTATATGGCCTCTGAGACCTCCCCTTTATGATAAATGTCATATAGAACCATCGACTCAATTGTAGATAGCCTCTAAGGCCACCATTCTTTTGTAGATGGCGTTTGAGATTACCAACAGTTTTGTCAATAGCTTCTGAGACCACCTCTCTATTGTCAATGGCCTCTAAGACCACCACTCTGTTGTAGATGGCCTCCGAGATTACTAACTCTTTTGTCGATGGCTTCTGAAACCACCTCTCTATTGTCAATGGACTTTGAGGGCATGGACTCTATTCTCGATGGCCTCTGCAACCATCTTCTCAAATGTAGATGCCGTCTGAGACTACCATTGTACTGTATATGGCATCGACAACCATTGACTCAATTCTAGATGGCCTCTGAGAGATCGACGTTTTCGGAGCTGCCTTTTATGATTATCGACGCTTTTGAAGATGGCGTTTGAGGTCAACAAGTCTCTTGTAGATGGCCTCTGAGTCCACATATTCTATTGTAGGACATCTGCCATCACAATGGATGGTCTCTGAGTCGACGAACTTTATTGTAGAGACCTCTGAGACCATCTACTCTATTTTCGGTTACCTCTTTTGAAGATGGCGCTTGAGGTCATCAATTCTCTTGTAGATGGCCTCTGAGCCCATATATTCTATTGTAGATGTTCTATGAGGTCGTAAAGAATTTCTTAGGGCATCTGCCATCACAATGGATGGTCTCTGAGTCGACGAACTTTATTGTAGAGACCTCTGAGAACATCTACTCTTTGAAACCATACTATTCATCTTTGAAACCATACTATTGTAATTAATTAATTGTTGTTCTTCCAGAAGGTGAATCTGCTGCCAAAAAGAAGAAAGGATGCGTCAAAATCCCCGTCGATCAATCTGCCTGTGATGCTGTAAAACAGTCCGCTGACGATGGAGTCGAAATCGAAAATTGTAAAATTTGTATGAGTGACAAATGTAATTCGAGTGGTACCTTAAAGTTCTCCATTGTCGCCATGCTCCTGGTAATGGCAATTCGACAACTTCTGATGTGAAATAGCAGAGAGAATTTAGTTTTTAAATTGTATTGCCATTTGTTCGCGAAAAAGGGAATACACATAGTATTGTTTGTTTGTAAATAAATATATGTATGTAGAAATTTAAGGAATAAGAGAGATACAGAAAAATTAATAAATAAAAAATATAGTTTTAAATAAAAATTAAAAAATCGAAATAATTTAAATCAGTCTGAGCAATTTCAAAAAGTGAGTCAATATTTAATGTAGGTGGTTATCAGGTGAGCGAATACCTGATAAACATACAGCGAAAGCTTTCGAATATATTTACACGATTTTGAGGCACCCTGTTACCATGACTACAACTGTTATAATTTAAGGGAAAGGGGAACTTTCACAAAAGCTTCAGGTGAAAGCTTTGAGATTGTGGTACAATTAACTGGGTAGTCATAAAAAAATATTTTCAAAATAATTTATCTTGATATCAGAAAGAAAAATATTAAAAAAAAATCTTCTTGAATACACGAATCACAAATTGGTTCGACTCAGTGATTAGGAATATGAACTCAATATCCAATATGCCCTCAAAACGGCTGAGGTGATGGAAAAAGCATTGAACCAAGTTACGGAGACACTTCTGAGAAACTATGATCATCTACCCTGGGAAGAAATTTCGATCTAATATATAAGCACCCTAAATACATATGTAGTTGCCTGGATGTCATGAACATTTTAAAGAATATTTTTCGTCGGGGATCCCAAACACAAAAAGACTGATAGATGTCGAAATAAGAAAATCGTTTTATCAGGACAAAATCACAGAGCTCACCTGCTCTTTTGTAGATGACCTCTTTGCTTTGAGATCGATACCCTATTGTCGATGACCTCAGCAACCATCGAATCAATTATAGATTGCCTCTGAAACCACCACTCTATTATCGATGATTTCAGCTACCCTCTACACAATTGTATATGCCTTCTAAGATCACCATTCTCTGGTAGATGGCGTGTGCAACCAACGCCACTCTACTGTAGATGGCTTCTATTGCCAATGACCTCAGCAATTATCGGGTCTGTGGCCACCACTATACGAGTATTAACGATGTCTTTTGAGACCATCAGTCTATTTTAGATGGCCTCAGCAGCCGTCGATTCAATTGTACCATGCCTAACCATCGACACAATTCTAGAGGGCTTCCGAGGCCACCACTCTATTGCCGATAGCCTCAGCAAGCATCGAATCAATTATAAATTTCTTATGAGACCATCACTCTATTATAGATGACCTCTCCTATCCTCAACTCAATTGGGTATGAAATCTAAGACATCCATTCTCTGGTAGATGGCGTGTACAATCATCGACTCCATTGTAGATGGCTTCTGAGACATCCACTCTATTGTCGATGGCCTCTGAAACCGCTACTCTATTGTGGATGGCCTCAGCAACCATGCTAGGTGGCCTCGGAGACCGCCACTGTATTGGCCTTTGAGACCGCTACTCAATTATCCATGACCTCAGCAACCATCGACTCTATTGTAGATGGCCTCAGAGACCACCACACTATTGTCAATGACATCTGAGGCCGCTACTCTATTGTTGATGGCCTCAGCAAGCATCCAATCAATTATAGTTTGCCTCTGAGACCACCACTCTAATATAGATTACCACTGCTACTCTCGAATCAAGTGTATATGACATCTAAGACCTCCATTCTCTGGTAGATGGCGTGTGCAACCATCGACTCCATTGTCGATGGCCTCTGAGACCGCTACTCTTTTGTGGATGGCCTTAGTAACCGTTGAAGGTGGCCACGGAGACCGCCAATGTATTGACGTTGGGCTCTGAGACCACAACTCGATTGTCCATGACCTCAGCAACGATCGACTTCATTGTAGATGGCCTCTAAGACCACCACTATATTTTCGATGGCCTCAGCAACCAATGTAGGTGACCTCAGAGACCGCAATTGTATTGTCGTTGGCCTCTGAGACCATTACTCGATTGTCGATGATCTCAGCAACCATGCACTCTTTTGTAGATGGTCTCTGTCCACAATACTATTGTCGAGGGCTCAGCAACAATCTATCCAATTGTAAATGGTTTTATGAGACCACTATTCTATTAAAGACGGATTTTGAGACCACCAACCATTGGCCTTTGAGACCACCACTCTATTGTCGATGGTGTCTGAGGTCATTAATCTATTGTCGATGGCTTCTGAGACCACTACTTTATTGTCGATGACTTCTGTGACCATCGATTCCATTGTAGATGGCCTCTGAAGACCCCACTCTATTCGCCGATGGCTTCTGAGACCGCTACTCTATTCTCGGTGACCTCAGCAACCGTCGACTTATTTGCAGATGGCCTCTGAGGCCATTACTCCATTGTCGATGGCTTCTGAGACCACTACTTATTGTCGATGACTTCTGAGACAATCGATTCCATTGTAGATGGCCTCTGAGGCCACCACTCTATTTGCCGATGGTTTCTGAGACCGCTACCCTGTTCTCGATTGCAGACATCGGCTCAATTTCAGATAGTCTCTGATGCCGTCACTCTATTCTCGATAGCCTCTGAGGCCAGCACACTATTGTCGGTGGCTTCTGAGAGCACTACTTTATTGTCGATGACTTCTGAGACTATCGATTCCATTGTTGATGGCCTCTGAGGCCACCATTCTATTTGCCGATGACCGCTACTCTATTCTCGATGGCCTCTGCATCGAGGAAATCATCGTAGATGGCCTCTGAGACCACCACTCCACACTCGAAGGTCTCTAAGAGATCTATCTTTTGGGTATGACTTCTGAGACCGTCGACTGCCCTGTAGATGGCGCTGTAGGATATCAACTCTTATACAGATTACCTCTGAGACCGCATACTCTGTTGTAGATTGTTTCCGAGAGCATCTACTCGATTCTATAAGCCTTCGGAGAAAATCTACTCTATTGCAATTGGCATCTGAGATCATCAACTCTATTTAAGGTTCTCGATCCTGTTGAAGATGACCTCGGAATGACCTACACCCCAATTGTGGTTGGTCTGTGAGTGTATGAACTTTATTGTAGATGGCCTCTGAGGCTATCTACCGTATTTTTGAGGACTTTGTTTTAAATTGTTGTCTTCGAGAATGTGAATCTACTGCAAAAGTCTACCTGTGAGGCTGTAAAGCTGGCCGCTAAAGATAATGTCGAAATCGAAAATTGTCAAAATTTTATAAGTGACAAATGTTACTCAAATGGTATCCTAAGGTTGTCCATATTCGACATTATCCTGGTAATGGCAATTCGGCAACTTATGATGTGAACTAAGCAGGAGAATGAATTTAGTTATTAATTTAGATCAGTTTTTTTTATTTTTTTCTCTTAAATATAATTTTTCTCTTAAATGAGAGAACAAGAATATACATTTGTCTCTCTTTTTATTCTCTTCTCTTGACATAAATAAAATATCGAAACAATAATTATTATCTTTGATAACTCACGCTTGTCTAACCAACTAACTATGGTCCCGCTATGGTGTTTATTTTTATTTACCCACCGTGGATTTGCAGTTAGAATTTGTGTTCGGAGGTGCTAACAACAAATATCGGAAAATTAACCCAAGGTGTTTTTGGTCGTTGCTTTTAGACTTTAACGCATTATTGATAAAAATAAATAAATAATTGATAAAAATAGTAGACCATAAAATAACAACACGAACAAAAAATGTATTTGATCAAGGGAATCGGTGGTATACTTGTTGTTGTTCTGGCATTGCTGGTACCCAGTGAAGGTAAAATATTATTTTTCTTTTGTGGATCGTTTTTTGGATAATCTCTATAAGTATCTCATTTTTATATCTTTTACAGCCATTAAATGCATCGATTGCGATTCCACAAAAGGAGAATGTCGCGATGTCAGCAAATTGGCTGCTACTGAATGTGGGACAGATGTCACCGAATGTTTTCTTAACAATGGTAGGTAGTTATTTCCCCCTAAACTGTCTGACAAAGTTCAGATGTGGGTTTGCTATTGAAGATTTCATAGATAATCCCACCACAAAAAAGAGTTGGCAAGTCGTATAAAATGTGTCACCGCGATTTCCAAGAATTTTAATCAATACAGACACAGCTTATCTATAAAAAATTCGTATATTAGGGCTATTATCATTAATTGGTGTCTATGAATGGGGTTTCCATAATGAAATAATATTTTTTTGTCCAGCTGAATAATGTTTCTATGAGGAAATCGTATATTCAACTAAACTAAACAGGAATCTCTTTAGGGCAATCTTGTATTCAGCTTAGCTGAAAACGATTTTCATAGGGAAATTGTCTATTCAGGTTAGCTGAATAATGTTTTCATAAGGAAATACTCCATTCAGTCTGGCTGAATAGGGTTTCCCTAAGGAAATCTTCTATTCTGCCTAACTGAATAATTTGTCCATAAGGAAATTTTCTATTCAGGTTAGCTGAATAATGTTTCCATAAGGAAATAATCCAATCAGTCTGGCTGAATAGGGTTTCCATAAGGAAATCTTTTATTCAGCCTAGCTGAATAATATTTTCATAAGGAATTTTTCTATTCAGCTTAGCTGAATAGTGTTTCCATAAGGAATTCCTCAATTCAGCCTAGCTGAATAATTTTTCCCTAAGGAAATCTTCTATTCAGCTTAGCTAAATAGTGTTTCCATACGGAAATATTCTATTCAGCTTACCTTAATAGTGTTTTCATAAGGAATTTCTCCATTCAACGTGGCTGAATAGAGTTTCCATAGAGAAATACTTCATTCAGCTTGGCTGAATAGAGTTTTGATAACTAATCTTCTATTCATCTTAGCTGAATATGGTTTCTATAGGGAAATCTTCTAATCAGCATGGTTGCCTCAAAAAATCCATAAGTAAATCCTGTATTCAGCTGGCTTGGAAAGGGTTTCAACACGCAAAACCTCTTTTTAGCCGGGCAGAATGGAATTTCCATAAGAAAAATCACAATTAAGTCTTGCTGAATACGCTTGACATACGAAAATCCTCTTCTTTGTCAGGCTGAATAATGTTTCCACATAGAAATATCAAATTTATCCCGGCTGAATAGGCTTTCCATAAGGAAATCTTTAATTCAGCTTTGCTGAATAAAGGATATCAATATGAATATGTCTTCCAAGGAAAATTAATTTCATATTTACCAGCTGAATAATGTTTACATGAAGGAAATATTCCATTCAGCCTGCCTGAATAGGGTTTTAATAGGGAAATTCTCAATTCAGCCTGGCTAAATAAGGGTTTCATAAGGAAATTTTCTATTCAGCTTAGCTAAATAGGGTTTCCATAGGGAAATACTCCATTCAGCTTAGCTGAATAGGGTTTCCATAAGGAAATATGCCATTCAGCCTGCTTCTTTGTCCGGCTGAATAGAGTTTCCATATAGAATCCTCTATTTAACCAGGCTGAATAAATCCAGTTTTTGCTTAAATAAGTAAATACCTACATTTTGGGTTTCCATACGGTCAAGCTGAATAGGGGTTACATATGGAAATTCTATATTCTGATGGGCTGATTAGAATTTTCATAAGAAAATTTTTAAATCAGCCTTGCTGAATAAGGATTCCGTAAATGAATTCACTATTAAAGCTTGCATAATAGGGATTACACAGCGAAATCAATCATTCAGCTCGGCTGAATAGGGTTTCCACAAGTAAATAACCCATTCATTGAAGCTGAATAGGGTTTCAATAAGGAAATTCTGTATTTCCCTCAGCTGAATAGGGTTTCCATAGAGAAATACTCGATTCAGCCTGGTGGAACGGGGTTTCCATAAAGAAATCCTCTAATTATACCAGCTGAATAGGATTTCCATTATGAAATCTTCTATTTATCCCCATTGAATATCGATTCCATAGCGAAATTCTCAACTCTGATTCTTAATTTTCTTTACCCAATATTTTGCAGTTGGTAACACCGTAACGCGTGGATGCCTTACAAAGGACATCACCTGTGATGCTACAACATGTGAGAAGTGTACTGGAAACGCTGACTCCGCTTGTAACTCGAAGAGCATAACAGACTCAAATGACTTCCAATGCATTGTCTGCCGCAGTGATGAGACTCCAGATTGTTGGAATGATGCCTCGAAAGTTAGTGGCAAGAATTGTCGAACTGGTGTTAGTTCTCCTGAAGATGGATGTTTCCATGGTATTTGGAGTAAGTTTGTCAAGAAAAATATAATAAATTATAAATTAAAAACAAAATGATTTTTTTCTCCTCCAACAGATGGCGTTGCCATACGTGGCTGTTTCATTGATGCCGATGCCAAAACCCAAGCCACCTGTGCCGATAAGAACAACAGTCAATGTCAAGTGTGTCACACCTCAAAGTGTAACACCCAAAATTCGTCCGGTGCTCAAAGTCTAGGCGTATTTATTGGACTTATTATGGCCATGCTTTCGGTCATTTGGTATATCAATTAATTGTATTTGTGTCGATATTAAACAGAAATAAATAAAAATTATTTTTCCAGCCCACCAAATTTTTTGTGAAACCTATGTTTTCCCCGGATTAAATAGGGATTACATAGGATCTTTATCGAGGTTTCCTTAGCAAAATGCTCTATTCAGCCTAGCTCAATAGGGTTTCCATATAGAAATCCTCCATTCAGCCTGGCTGAATAGGGTTTCCATAATGAAATCCTGCATTCAGCCTGGTTGAATAGGGTTTCCATAAGGAAATCCTCCATTCAGCCTGGTTGTATAGGGTTTCCATAAGGAAATCCTCCATTCAGCCTGGTTGAATAGGGTTTCCATAAGGAAATCCTCCATTCAGCCTGGCTGAATAGGGTTTTCATAAGGAAATCCTATATTCTGCTTGAAGGAATAGGTTTTCCCTAAGGAAATCCTCCATTCAGCCTAGTTGAATAGGGTTCTTATAAGGAAATCATCCATTCAGCCTATCTGAATAGGGTTTTCGTAAGGAAATCTCCCACTTAGCCTGACTGAATAGGGTTTCCATAAGGAAATTCTCCATTCAGCCTGGCTGAATAGGGTTTTCATAAGGAAATCCTATATTCTGCTTGAAGGAATAGGTTTTCCCTAAGGAAATCCTCCATTCAGCCTAGTTGAATAGGGTTCTTATAAGGAAATCATCCATTCAGCCTATCTGAATAGGGTTTTCGTAAGGAAATCTCCCACTTAGCCTGACTGAATAGGGTTTCCATAAGGAAATTCTCCATTCAGCCTGGCTGAATAGGGTTTCCATAAGGAAATTCTACATTCAGCCTGGCTGAATAGGGTTTCCATAAGGAAATTCTGCATTCAGCCTGGCTTAATAGGGTTTCCCTAATGAAATCATACATTCAGACTAGATGAATAGGGTTTCCTTGATGAAATCTTATATTCAGCCGGGCTGAATAGGGTTTTCATAAGGAAATCCTACATTCAGCCAGGCTGAATAGGGTTTGCATGAGGAAATCCCACATTCAGCCTGGCTGAATAGGTTTTCACTAATCAAATCCTACATTCAGCATAGCTGAATAGGGTTTCCCTAAGGAAATACGTCATTGGGTTTCCATGATGAAATTCTACATTCAGCTTGGCTGAATAGGATTTCGATAAGAAAATCCTCTATTAAGCCTTGCTGAATAGGGTTTTCATAAGGAAGTCCTACATTCATCAAAACTAAATACGATTTTCATAAGGAAATAATCCATTCTGCTTGGCTGAATATGGTTTTCATATGGAAATAATTCATTCAGCAAAGCTGAATGCGAAGAAAATCGTCAATTCAGTCTTGCTGAATAGGGTTTCCATTAAGATTTCATCCAGGCTGAATATTTCCTCCTATTGAAAGTTTATACCTTTTATATTAAAAAAGTTATCCACCTCTCACTCACGCAAATAACACATATACAGGAAGAGAATTACTCTCCCTCTCCCTATCTCATCACTAGTACAAAAAAAATTAAAGAGAACACAAATTATATTGAAAATAAAATTCCTTTGCGATAACGAATTTGTCTCCTAACCTAACCAACTATAGTTAGTCCGGCTATAAAATTATTTAACTTGCCCGCATTGGATTGCAGTCGGAATTTGTCTTTAGTCAAGTTAACAGTCATTTTTTGTATTAGTCGTTGTAGTTGTTGCTGTTCTACACATTGACAAAATATCGATAAAGGTGAATAATTGATAAAGGAAAAGAACAAAAGCAGTGAAAGCAAAAATGTATTGGCTTCGGGGAATCAACACATATGGGTGTCTGGGTGTTATTCTTGTCTTTGCATTGATGGTTTCGAGTGGAAATGGTGAGTTGAACTTGTCGTTGTTGTGAAGTGATGATTAAAAATTAATGTTTTTTATTTTTGTTTAAATTTGTTTCGCCAAAAATTCTACAGCTTTAAATTGTTACCAATGTAATTCCAACGATGATCCAAATTGCCTAGATAATAGCAAATTGGAAGAAGCTAAAACTTGTGAAGGGGATGGAGTTACTAAATGTTTCGTTAGTAATGGTAAGTTAATAAGGAAATGTGAACTATTGCAGAAACAAAAAAAAAACTTCATATACAATATCCATTTAGCATGGCTGAATATGGTTTGCAAGGGGAAATCTGAAATGTCTTTCCTGCTGAATTGGATTTTTAAAGTGAAATCAATAATTCAGCCTGGCTGTATAGAGTTTTCATAAGGAAATCTTTCATTCAGCCTTTCTGAATAAAGTTTACATAAGGAAATTCATCATTCAGCCTGGCTGAATAGGGTTTCTTGAAAGAAATTCTTCATTCAACCAGGCTGAATAGGGTTCCTATAAAAAATATCTTCATTCAGTGTGGCTGAATAGGGTTTCTATATGGAAATCCTTCATTCCGCTCAGCTGAATAGGGTGGTTTATTGGGAAATCTTCCAATCAGCCTGTCTGAATAGGGTTTTCATAAGGACATTTTTCATTTAGTCTGGCTGAATTGGGTTTCTATAAAGAAATCCTCCATTTAGCCTGGATGAATATGGTTTCCATAAAGAAATCCTACATTCAGCCTGGCTGAAAGTGTTTCTATTAGGAAAACCCCCATTCAGCCTGGCTGAATAGAGGTTTCTATAAGGAAACCTTCAATTCAGCTTGGCTGAATTGGTTTTCTATAAAAAAAAACAAATCCTCCATTTATTTAAAAATCCTCCAAATTATCCATTTATAATGGCTGAATTGTGTTTTTATTATAAACTAACTTATTCAGCGTAGCTGAATTGATCGTACGATATGAATGAATATTGTTTCTGGTAGGAAAAACGACTTTTCAGCCAAGCTGAATAGAGTTTCCGACAGGAAAATTGCTTTTCAGCCAGGCTGAATAGTGTTACCGATAGGAAAACTAGCTAAATCGGGTTTGCTATAATAATAGTTTTCTGCTTGGCTGAAAAATATTCTGAAACCTGCTATTCAGATCGGCAGAATAGAGTTTCCCATAGTAAAACTGCTTTTTAGTATGGCTGAGTAGTGTTATAATAGGAAAACCACTTTTCTGACTGGCTAAACAGTTTCTAATAGGAAAACTACTTTTTCAGCCAGACTGCTATTCAGGCTGGCTGAATAGAAATTCTTATAGGGAACGTCCTGGCTAAATAGAGTTTCTGATAGAAAAAATTGATATTTTGACTGGCTGAATAAGAATTCAAATGAGAAAACATAAATTCGACACGGCTGAATAGGGTTTCTTATAAGTAAACATAAATTTCTGATAAGAAAACATATATTCAGGCAGGCTGAATAGGGTTTCTGATAGGAAAACAAATATTCAGCCCAGCTGAATAAGGTCTCTGATAATAAAACCTCGGCTGAGAACATAAATTCAGGCCGCCTAAAAAGAATTTTAATAGAAAAAATAAATTCAGCCCCGCTGAATAGGGTTTCTGATAAAAAAAATATATTCAGCACTGCTGAAACGGATTTCCCATAAGAAAGCATATATTCAGCCCGGCTGAATTGGGTTTCTTATAAGAAAAAATAAATTCAGCCCGGCTGAATAAGGTTTCTGATAGGAAAACGTATATTCAGTCCTACTGAATAGGATCTCTGATAAAAAAAACATATATTCAGCCCAATTGAATAAGGTCTCTGATAATAAAAACCGGGCTGAGAACATAAATTCAGGCCACCTAAAAAAGGTTTATAATAGAAAAACATAAATTCAGCCCCGCTGAATAGGGTTTTGGATAAAAACAATATATTCAGCACAGCTGAAACGAATTTCCCATAAGAAAACAAAAATTCAGCCCGGCTGAATAGGATTTATTATAAGAAAACAAAAATTCAGCCCGGCTGAATAGGATTTATTATAAGAAAACATAAATTCAGCCCGGCTTAATAGGGCTTCTTATAAGAAAACATGAACATGAATAGGTTTTCTTATAAGAAAACATATATTCAGCCAGGCTGAATACAATTTCCTGCAAGACCCACATATTCAGCTTGCTAAATAGAGCTTTTGATAGGAAACCATATTTTCAATAAAGCTAAACTAGCTTTTCCATAGAAAATAGTTATTCAGCCCAGCTGAATAAGGCTCTTCGAACCAAAAAAAAACTATTCTAACCAGCTGAATAACAGCTGTCAATGAAAAAACACCTCTTCAGCAGGGTAACAATAATATTTTTTTTATATTATCTATCCATTTATCGGACAACAATAAATAAAATTCAATTTTTGAGGGTCTTCTTTGTGCCGCTAGTCCTCCATTGACCTGAAATTCTCACAGCGACTATCTAGAAAATGCTTTAGCTTATTATTTTTTTAATATAAATAAATTATAAATTTATTATTGTTGGTTGGTGTTGGCAGTAACGAAGCTATCTTATCAATGTATCAATATTCATTTGCCCTACATAACCCCCACTCCTCGGTGCCCCCCTTCTCACTCACCCTGAATTTCATTAAATATTGTCAGCCATCGATTTAGCCAATAATATTTATTTGCATTGTTTATGGGACTCACACAGTCTACAGATAAATTGTGAAATTTGTTACCAAGAAATCCGCAACAAGCTATTAATGAGAGTTCTTTTTTGTTGGTTTTGGAATTTTGAAAACAAAATCCCGAAATTGCTCATAATATTAAGAATATTGTGATGAATGTGTGTGCCAAAAAAAAAACAAATCGGGAAGATAAATATTTCAACGAAAAATTAATTAATGAAATGTTCACTTGTAAACGAACCTTAAGTACCAAATGAGTCACACCTCAGATATATCGATTAGATATAGATGCAACACAAAAAATAACCTTAAATAGTAGGGCTAACGTCGCTTGAGATAAGCATTCGGAATGATAAGATTTAGTTAGTCAACAGTCAAAATTGGTAATATTGGCATCAAAAATTATTCTTTAGAAAAATCCGCCACTTAGTAAACCTTTCAAAAATGAATAGTTATAAATCGGGACCTTGGAGAGAGTAAAATTTATTTTATTTGAAATCCGCATAATGGCAAGCCCTTTTGGTAAATTATTCTTTAAAAATTTCACACCTTGGTTGTACTTTTAACTAGTATTTCAATCTCTAGGAACCCGCAATACCAAATTACAGCAACTTCGGTTTGGAAAAATCCGACTAAAACCTTCAAAATCACGAAAATCGGAAGCTACAAAAGAATGGACCAATATCGTAATAATTGTAAAATAACCTCTAAGAACCCGTAATATCAAATTACAGGGACTTCGTTTGGGAAAAAGCAGCAAAACCCTCAAAATACCGAAAATCGGAAGGTGCAGTTATATAGGGGCTGAACCAAAACCTGAACCGATATTGATAATTTTTGGTAAGAATATTTCACACCCAATGATAACCCAAAATATCAAATTAGAGGCAATCCGGTTGAAAAATGTGTTCAAGCTCCCCCAATATACCGAAATTCTGGAGATACCCTTATATAGGAGTGACACTAAAAAACAGAAAATTTTTGTTTTACACTCTCTAAGAACCCGTAATTTCAAACTACAGCCAATTAAGTTGGGAAAATGTGAATGAAACCCCTAAAAATACCGAAAATCGGAAGGTTCCTTTATATTAGAGGGCTATTTCCGAACATGGGCCTATATCAAAATTATTGTAAAACACCTTCCAAAAACATGTCATGCCAAATGGCAGGTTATTCGGTTGGGTAAATGCAGCTAAACCCTTCAAAATACCGAAAGTCGGGAGGTACGGATATAAGGGAGCTACACCGAAACATGACCTATATTGATAATTTTTAGTAAAAAGGAAGATTTCACACCCAATGTGATCACAAAATACTAATTTGCACCCAAATCGGTTGAGAACCTTGTCCAATGTCCCCAAAATACCGCAAACCGGTCGGAACCGTTATATGGGAGTTACCCCGAAACATGGATCAATATAAATAATTTTCAATACAGATATTTTCTACCCAATGAGAATTCGAAATACCAAATTACAGCTAATTCGGTGGAAAAACGTACTCAAGCTCCCCAAAATATCGAAATTCGGGAGGTATCCTTATAAGTTGACCACTATTGATAATTTTTGGTAGGATGATTTTACACCGAATGAGATCTAAAAACACCAAATTACAGCCAATTTGACTCAAAAAAATGTTCAAGCTCCCAAAAAAATCGGTCGGAGCCGTTATATTTTTAATTTTTGGTAGAAAGATTTAACAGCCAATGAGATTCCAAAATAAAAAATTAAAGACATTTCTGTTTAAAAAACGTACCTAAAATCCTCCATATAGCGAAATTCGGAAGGTACCCTTATATGGTGGCAACCCCGAAATATGCACCAATATAGAAAATTTTTGGTGGGGAGATTTTCAATCTAATGAGATCCCAAAATACCAAATTACAGCCAATTCGCTTGAAAAACGTACACTAATTTCCCAAAATACCGATATTCGGAAGGTAATGTTATATGGGGGCTACCATAATAAATTGACCAATATTGATAATTTTTGGTGGGAAGGAATGCTACACCAAAACAACAACTAATAATAAAAAATTACAGCCAATTCGGTTAAAAAAAAAACAGCCCAAAGTCCTTAACATAGCGAAATTCAGGAGGTACCGTTTGAATGGGAGCTACCCTAAAAACTTTACCAATATTCATAATTTTTGGTAGGAAGATATAAAACCTTATGAGATCCAGAAATAAGAAATAACAGCCAATTTGGTACCCCAATTTCCTCAAAATACCGAAATAGGGGCTTTGGTCACCCTTAAAAAAAATTACTTACTTAACTGGCTCGAGACAGAACATTTGTTCCATACGCCGAGCTTAACCAAGATTTTCAGGCGAGCTGGTATTGTGCGCAGCTCTTCCAATTTGAATGACCATGCTTTGATATGTTATCCTCCACTTCATCCTTTCATCGAATTCCGATTTTATATGCCAGTTGATCTGAGACATTTTCATTACGGCCTCGCTACCGTAGTCGCTACAGTTCGATGCGTCTGACTATGTCGATGTCTGTATATAGATGGTATAGCTCGTGGTTCATTCGACGCGCATATTCACTGGTCCGAGTTTTATGGACGTCTTGCGCATTGATACTTGGTCTTCTCGCCATTTACTGCCAGTCCCACTTTGGAAGAATGCTTCTAAATCTGTTCAATAGTGGATGTTACCGCCCTCAATGTTCGACACATTATGTCGATGTCATGGGCGTAGGCGAATACCGTGTGTTGTTGGTATACAACAGGATGGTAAAATATATCACACGAGAGGCTGCCACCTTGCCTGAACCCTCGTTTGGCATTGAAGGACTCCGAGAGACCCTTCCTGACTTTAACTGCTGAGCTGTGCCATTTAAAGTTATCCTGCTTAGCCGTATTAATGATTTTAAACACCTCTGAACGCATATGACTGTCGAATGCGACTTTATAGTCGACGAATAGGTGAAATGAGTCATTGTATTTTTCGTGAATCTAAGATTTGGTGCAGTGTGAAAATCTGGTCTATGTTGGATTTGCTATGGTCCAATAATCGTTCACACAGCCCGCAGGATAGCACTTTATATGCGATGGAAAGGGGACTTATTCCTCTTTAGTTGACACATATCGTCCTGTCTTGTTTTTGTGAGCGGATGAACGGACACAGAATGCTGAGGTTCCAATTATTGGGCATACATTCCTCTAGCCGAATTGTTCTAATCAGTTGGTGCATGATCCCGATCAGCTTCTGACCACCGGTCTTAAATAGTTCGGCTGGTAACCCATTGACATCTGCTGCTTTATTATTCTTCAGCAGATTAATTGCTACTCTGACCTCGTCTTGTGCTTCTATACTATTATCGGGACAAGACGTGCTTTCGTCAAGCAGGTGGGTAAGTTGAGCGGAGTAGGATTATGTTATCGGTTGTGTTTTGCAGTTTTTCGACGTCGGCGGGTTTTTAGAGCCGTTTTAGATCGCACAGTTGCTGCCAAATTAAGATTAGTGCAAACCTTGTGTGCTACAAGGTAATTGTCCGAATCGATATTCGCTTCTCGGATCGATCGAACATTTAAAATACTGGTTAAATGTCTTCCGTCTATCACAACATGATAAATTTGATTTCTTGTTGGTCTTGTGTATCTCGAGATGCTTGAATCTGGTGCTGCCAACTACCATGTTTTTTGCTACCGCAAAGTCAATCAACCTCATGCAGTCGCCTGATGTTTCTTCATGGAGGTTGAATTTTCGGACGGTAGGGCTTAAAAATATTTTCTCTTTCGATTTTTGCCATCAAATCCAGTGCAGCGGCCATATGCTGTTTCTTACATATTTTCATACCTGGCTTGTGACAGAACGGTTGTTCCATAAGTTGAGCTTAAAAAAGATTTCCAATCGCGTCGTCTTTTGCGCATATCATTCAATTTAATAGACCCTGTTCCGAGTTGTCTTCTGCTTGATCTTTCGATCGGATTCGTGGCTTTCCCCTTCAACGTGAACCATCACTTGGATCGATTTTATATGCCTTTTGAGTGGGGGAATCTCCATCCATTCTCACAACATGACCTATCCAACGTAGTCGCTGCAGTTTGATCCATCTGATTATGGTTGGCAACTCGACTTCAAGTAGATCGGATAGTCAGCTGTGTTAAATGGACGACTACCTTATGATGCAATAACACGGTGATCTCTGAAAAGAAAAAGCTTTGTTTTTGTCAGGAACCTTCTGTCAAATTTTTCCTTATAAAATGTCACATGGTTGGCAACATTGCACATCGAATTCAAGTACAAATACGCAGTTTGACAGTGAATCGAGTCATCAGCTGCGCTAATGGAGTACCTATTTATTGTGGTATGGTTCGCGCCTTCGACAACACAATCTAATTACTTTTTTTCAATTTATAGATGGCGGTGTTATAACCCGTGGTTGCTTAAAAGCGGATCAAGACTGTACTGGCGGCAATTGCATATCATGTGATACGGATAATTGCAATAATCACAATATCTGTAAGAAATGTACCACCGATGATGCCGATTGCTCCCAGACCGATGTCTCAGATAAAAAATACAATGACATTTGTCCAGCAGCGGATACGCAATGTTTTGTCAATGTCAAGGATAAGAAGGTTGAACGGCGTTGTGCCGCGGCAGATGACAGCTGCAGCAGTGACACCATCTGCAAGAAGACTACCGGCTCTCTAAGTAATGCCGGATTATTTCCAAGCAAACGTATCCATTGTTATCAGTGTGCCGTCAACGGATGTTCCGATGTCACGGCGAATAGTGTTGCGTCCAAGCCGTGCCGAAATTATATCGACAACGATGTGTGCTATATGACAGCCGAAAGTGCCACATCCGTTACTCGTGGCTGCAAGTCCGATGACACATCCAAGTGTAGCAGTGGATCGGAACAAGGTTGTGTTACCTGCAGCACAGACAATTGCAACAATGCCCTCTATGAAAGGCAACAAAAATTGAAATGCATTCAATGTCAGGGTAGCGATTGCTTCAAGGAACAACCCACCTCAGAGGCCAAGGATTGTGAAAAGAAAATCTTGTATTCGGATAAGGAGGCGTGTTATACCCTATTGGCGGATGATACCATTCAACGGAATTGTTTGCACAATGATGCCGCCGTTAAGGAGAAATGTGAAAAGGCCGGTGAATCATGCAAGGTGTGCAGTGATTCTGATGGCTGCAATCGTAGTGCCGAAACATCGAATTTCCAGTGTATTGTTTGTCGCAGCGATGAGACTCCGGAGTGTTGGAATGATGCCTCGAAAGTTAGTGGCAAAAATTGTCGAACCGATGCTAGTTCTCCTGAGGAAGGATGTTTCCATGGTATTTGGAGTAAGTTTGTCGGGAAAGAAAATTTGAAAATATTACAAAAATTCACAAATGTTTTTCTCCTCCAACAGATGGCGTTGCCATACGTGGTTGTTTTATTGATGCCGATGCCAAAACCCAAACCACCTGTGCTGATAAGAATAACAATCAATGTCAATTGTGCCACAGCTCAAAATGTAACACTGAGAAGTCATCTGGGGCCCAAAGTCTTGGTGTCTTTATTGGACTTATTACGGCCATGCTTTCGGTTATTTGGTATACGAATTAAAATCGAGAAAATGAAGTCAAATGAATTTATTTAACGAAACGAAAATTATATATATTATCATACACATTATATAGACACCATAAAAGCATACAATAAACATATCTCTTTTTATAATATTTAAAAAAATGCTGAGCAGATGGAGTGGACTGGTGGGTCGAACTTGATTTAGAGTTGGTAAAAAGAAAGAGTGGACTAAAGATTCAAATTTATAAAAACACAAATGGAATGTTGGCCCTTGAAAAAATATTCTTAAAAAAATCCATGCCTATGTTGACCCTTGAAAAAAATATTCTTTAAAAAATCCAATGTCTTACTCTCCCAAGCTCACGATAGCAATGGACATCAAACGATGAAGGCGGCAACGACCGACCAAGAATGAAATGAAAAACCAAAGAAATGACGGAACCAGTTTAGTTTAGGGGCTCATCTCGAATTGTTCTGAAATTTACCATAGGTAGATCTCGTCCCTCTAATCACGAAAATATATAACTTTTATGGGGGAAGTTCCGAAAATTCATATTCTTATAACATCGCCGATGAAGAAAATATAGATATGGCTGTAAAGCTTACACAACATCCTTTCACGTTAAACCCATGTTAGCTAAAAAAAGGTCCCGAATAGACGGCCTTCGGCCGGGTATTTTAGATTTTCTCCCAGGTTCAAAGTCGAACTATACGATCAAAATTTCCTTTTAAATTAACATTTTTCAAAGTACCAGGTCTACGGCCGTGGATTTAAGACTTTCTCCTATGGACAGGTGCAAATTTCGGCTACGGGATCCCAATTCCTTTTTATACCCTCCACCATAGTATGGAGGGTATATTAATTTTGTCATTCCGTTTGTAACTCATCGAAATATTCATTTCCGACCCTATAAAGTATATATATATATATATTCTTGATCAGGGTAAAATTCTATTGTAATCACGCTATCTTCTGAAGGAATTGAGATAGGGTGCTGAAATTCGTTGAAATTTGCTACATTGGGTTCTTTTTGGGTACTAAATGTCTCCACAAAAATTTATAAATATAGGTCCACTTTTTTTGGTAGCCCCCATATAACGGTACCTCCCAATTTTTAGTATTTTGGGGGTTTTGATCGTATTTTTCCGCCGAATTAGCTGTAATTTAGTATTTGGAGTTATTAATAGGTACCCCAATTTTCGGTAGTTTGTGGTTCTTGAGCGCGTTTTTCAACCGAATTTACTGTAATGTGATATTTTGTAGTCACATATGGTAACAAACCTCTCTACCAAAAATTATTAATATTCGTCCCCTTTTTGGGGTAGTCCCCATATAACCCCCTTTTTTATATTAAAATAGTTATCTGATTTGTTCCGCGTTTTGAGTTTGGTTCTGAGACTCTGTTGTAATCATTTCACTGCGTAGGATAGCGAGATAAAAAATTAGAAGTACGGTTCAATAATGAACTATAGCCGCATTTAGACCTAGCCCCTGAAGGAGTGGACCGATATTCCCCATCTTCGAATTTGAATTATCAATTAAAAATTTCTGAAATTTGTATTATGGTAATCCGTTTTTAGACATGTCGGTATAGGTCCACATTTTGGTATGTTCCCCATATTTTCATTTCTAGTACCTTTCAGTATATCTATGGCGGCCCGGCCGAACTTAACGCTTTTTCACTTGTTAAAATTATCTTTTTTCAAGTAGCAGGTCTTCGCCCGGGAGTGTAAGACTTTCTCCTATGAACTGGTGCAAATTTCGGCCACAAGATACCAATTTATTTTTGGAATTATATTTTTCCAAGAACTTTCTCTAATAAACAGGTTCAAAGTTCAACTATACGATCAAATTTTCCTTTTAAATTAACATTTTTCAAAATACCAGGCCTACGGCCGTGGATTTAACACATTCTCCCATGGACAGGTGCAAATTTCAGCTACGCGATCCCAATTCCTTTTTAAATTTTTCACACTTACCTTTCAAAAGTCGGAAATGATCGTGGTTCCCGGTCAAATATATTTTTTAATGAGGGGCTATAGGGGTTCCTTCGAACGGTCTTCAACGGGGACAATAAAACATTTATTAGTTCCCCTTTCAACACTACCGAAAACCAATTTATGATTAAAATTAATGTTAGAGCGTAAAATTAAATTCGTACTTACATCTACGAAAATTAATAATTGGTACTGAATTTTGTACAATTCGGATGTTAGTGAACAGATAGAGGTGGAATCCTTAAATGTGGACCTAAGATTATTTACGATGCGCATGATTGAGGTATTTTTGGAATTTCGTAATTATGGGTACGAAAAGTACTAAATTTGGTGTAATTTGGCATTCGGTAAACGGATAGAACGGGAATTCTGGAAGTTGCAACTAAGATTACTGTCGGGGAGTAGGATTGAGATAGTTTTGGAATATGGGTGCGAAAAGTACAAAATGGTACCAAATCTGAACAATTCGGATTTTGGTGACCAGATAGACTTATGATTACTCTTTGAAAGCAGGATTGAGTTAGTTTTAAAAATTCGTACTTATGATTACGAAAAGTATTAATAGTAATAAACTTAGATGTAGGAATAGAGGTAGAATTCGGAATTATATCACAATAAATTATACAGTATTCACAATTTCAATAGAGAATATTATTTGTTGTTTTTTATTCCCTTTCGGTATACGAAGTAGCGCTAGTATCAAGGAAATGAGTGTTCTATTTTGCTTTCTCTATTACTTTCAAAATTCCACACCTTGAAAAAATAGATTTTCTTTTCCAAATAAAAACAACACTTCAGAAAAAATTCATAAATAATTATAATCCGTTGCAAACTTTTCACACTCAGTGTTAACACCTCCACCATCAGCTGTCTGTCTAATCGAAGTTTAAACATAAAAATTATCGACATAACGACAAATCAGATAAACGAATGTTTTGATTGATGTTGCAAAATACATATGAGACTACAACAATAACAACAACATCGTGCCCAACTATCATTTCTTGTTTTGATAATTTAATTGTAATCACGAACCTAATAATTTTCAGCAATTGCTTAATCAGGTGACTTACCAAGTGTGACAAGAAAACAATTTGAAATCATTTTTTTAAGGAAGGTAAGTAATGACTAACTCATAGAATGGTGAAGATAAAAATATTCTGTGCAAATATAAGCCCCTGTTTCACGCTGTTTTATTTCTAGAAATAAAAAATCTTCCCGAAATATTATTAAAGGTTTTGAAGTATGAAGTCTATTGCATTTTTTAATTCTAATTGAGGTATAGACTTATTAAGGTATTTTTATTTTAACAGTATGGTGCATTGGTCTCCTAACTTGGCAGATATTCTGTCACAATTTTGAAAAATTGTAAATTTAAGCAAAAACAAATTGCTTCAACTCGACACAGCCTCCGTCGAGTTCCGACAACATTTAAGGGCTGCAACCTCAGTTGGTTCGTGCCTACACTACACCCACACACATAAGGCATCTAACGCCATCGAGCTCCGCAAACATTTAAGGGCTGTACACTACATACACACATATGGCGCCATCTGACGCCAATTGTCTGTCCTAAAATGCAATATGACATAATTTCATTCGACTTCCCATAATCTCCCTACTTTCAAAGTTTGATTTATTAAATAATATTTTTGCATGTGTTTTTTGAAGACTCATTTTTCTGAATATATTTTTTAAGTGTATAACCTAAAAATAACCTCTTTTGTAGTTCTACGCAGAATGTCCTTCGGTCATCGGCGTCCATGATACCAAACAAAACAAGCTTTAACGAGTCAATAAATATTGATGCCGACCTCTTTGCACATAAGATTTTTTAGGGAAGATATATTTCTTTGTCTTACTTGGAGGTTTAGAGTGTCCTGTATACGTTCGCATTGACCCTGAAACATCTGCAATTTTTCAAAAGTCCCAGTCATAGCTTTGACAAATTATTTTGCCTTATCGATAACGTCAAAGAACGGATTCATATCAAATTATACGATCAGGTTCCAGGTCGAGGTTACCACATCCACAGAATCCATATGATCAGGATACACCACTGTGAAATTCTTTATTTCCTCGATTTTGGGCTTTATTCGCTTTTAGGATTACCTTTCCTTATTATCACTAGCACATGCCTCAAAATTAAACTTAGATACGATTTTCGTTTGAGCTTCTCTACGTGCTGCTGTAGATGTCCACTATTCTCCCAAACAAGTTGGTAGTATCTTTTTATTTTTTAAAACGAGTTGTCCATTCTGTAAATTGTTCTGCGACGTTTCATTTGTATCTTTTCCCTAAACGCGATTTTATTTTCTGGACCAGATTCCATTTATCCAAGCACTACATTCTACCGTCATAGTCGTTTGGGGGTTCATCTAATATTGGACGGGCAATTAGAAAATGCCCCGGTGTCGAATTTACACTGTCTCCATCTGTACAAGTAGCGTACTTCTCCAAGAATACCT